GATATAGGGGTTATATACTGACTATGTAAGGGTTATATATGGTAATGGGATTAAGGGTCCCTATTAGGGGTCCCTCCTAATGTCCCTAGAGTTTTTGTTTTGTGTGTGATGGGCGGGCTTGACCTGGCCGGTTTCTCAACATCTTCTGATTGGCTCTTAGTACGGACTATGAGGAATAATGGAAAAGAACTATAGCATGATAGGGCATACATTGGGGTTATATAGAAGTGAACATGGGGATATACTCCCTATATCATCCCTATAAAACATACCCCCTTATTCGCTACTAAGAGCCAGCAAGTCTTAAGCTTCGGCGTTTCACGTACCTAGCTTGAATGTCCGGCGCGATCCAGGATGTACTATTGCAGAATGGGCATTCTGGCAAAGGGTGTATAGCATGCTCCCCAAAAGGTCATGCAAAAGCTTGAGTAATTCGAAACATTATCCACATGTAATCCTTATATAGAGTTCGTACGCCCAAACCCCATTCAAGTGTTCGAACAACCCTTATGTGCAAGGATGATTCGTACAATTGCTAGAAACCCCAAACAGGATGGCTACCCGTTTTAACAGATTGGGCGGGAAACCCCTGGACGAGGGTTGCGGGATTCAGCTCAAATAAGCGGTGCACAGTTATCCCCAGAAGGGACAGCTATAGCTTGCGGCCCTTCAGCTGCATACAACGACTCAGTCAGCCGTAGAGTACAAATGGAGAGATGCATCAGGTAGGAGTGTACAAGCTTGAAGCCGGGCCTGTGATAAGCCACTGCCAGACCTGAACACCCTTTTCTCGTCTCCCATCCCTTGTGTGTGAATTTTTCAACTCCTAGCAGAATTCTGTACAGGAACCGCTCTGAATCCTGAATCCCTAGATTCTCCGTGAGCGAACACACCTGATGAGTTAAACTCGCAACCTCAAGCTTATCCCACCCGTAAACCCCAAATCTTAGCCATCAGTGAATGTCGTCCGTGATGCTCCAGCCATTACGGAAGCGATGATTTTGTCCATGTCCCCGCTGGCTGAGTCGGAGCCCCGAAGAGTCTGCAGCAGAAGAGAAGCATGTGTCGTCTGTGATGGTCTTCACACATTTAGAAATCACATCATGCACCTCTGCACGAGGAGCACAGAGGGTACCCCGCCCAAATGCCTATGAGAGCTTGCTAATTTTATCTTTTACCCCGGTTCGTCATACCATGCAAAGCCGGGCAAAAGCAGGCGTCGTGGTGAGTTGCAGATTGATTTGTCATAGAATCTGAGGGGCACCTGGTTTACCGTTAAAGTCAAGCAGGCGATGAATCGATGCATGTATTAGGCTCCGCGGACTTCAAGTAAAGCAGGTTTTGCAGGATCATCTCGTCTGTTGAAGCTATGCGAGTAGAGGCCGTATATCGCGTTATATCCACATCTAACCTATATAACCCCCTCTAGAGTCCCTATAGAAACCCGGTATCCCCTGTATACTTCCCATATTACCCCCAATCTCTCCACTTCATGTAGCGGAACAGCCCGAGCTATCCAAAGCACTCAACACATGACTTCGCCAATGCGAGCACCGCAAGAGGGGATGCAACGTGGAAATCCAACACTTACCCTGCTCCTACAATGCCTTGCCTCAAAGAAGGCAACTACGTACGCATGCCCTTTGTCTAAAACTCTTCTGATGCTCGCGGAAGTGTGCTGCCCGTCGACCACCCAGCCTTCAATCCCGAGCTGAATAAACTCGTGGCGCCGAACCTTCACAATGTCTTACGGGATACTACGGACCTACATAGACCTCCCACGCCAGCTCCATCTTTACTGGGGCCTTTTAGGAGGCAGGGGTATCACACAATAATTAGGTGTCTGTGGGGATTTGTAGGAATCAGGGCCAGAGAGTGACTGTTGCAGCTTACTCCCTCAATCAAGCAACACTCCGTTCGAGAAACATTCAAAGAACCTGCCCCTGGCATCCCTGGCACGGAATAAATATTTTCAATATTCGGTAAATATACATCTATACATATTATTATATATATATACACACACTTATTTATATGTATACAAAGTTGGGAATGCCGACTACATGCTTTGACTGTGTTTCTGGACTGGGGGTGGTATGGTTGATTGACAACAACATCTGCGTGATTCCAAGTGTAATACGTTCCAAGAACTCCAATCTTTTTTGGGGGGATCCTTGTCCAGTTGAGGTAAATGGGGTCATGAAAGACTTCTTCCATGCATCAACAGCCTGGGAGATCTAAATCACATGGAAGCCCTCTGCTTCTTGTGCTGAAAGCTCCGGGTAACACAACCCGACGAGATATCTGGCACCCTACACTACTCACATCCTGCAAGTATTGTGCCGGCCATAGGAACAACACCCTGAAGCTAAGGTGGCGGCTGGATGCACGTGATCGGAGCAATTGAAACCTGGAGATGCTAAGACTGCGGGGGGGCTCACTAGGCGAAGGTTGGCCTTCAAAAGAACTGAGTATGGAGGGTAGCGACTTCCTTACATTTTTGGGCTCAGGTGGAATGCTGTCCGATTTATGTTATGAACATCTCCAGCTATAAGCCGAATAAAGCAGAACTAAGCCTGATCTGAAAGGCAAGCAGCAAAGCTCTTCAGGGGCAGATCTCAATCATAAAAGCTTGAGTTCAGTGCAATCAAGCGTCTATCGCAAGCGGTAGACCCCGGTAGCCTTGGATGGGGCTTAAGGCTTGATTGGATTGAGGATTCGGGCTCGGAATTTAGAGTCGATGATCGTAGTGCTTGAGGCTAAGGGCTACAAAGGCGTTACTTTCGACCTACGCGCTTCACAGGGTTTGGAGTTTAGGCGCACATCTTCATTATCCAGGCCCTCAATGCAGCTCTCCAGTAGCCGGGCAGTCCTGAACTCACTGAGCTGACAGTTGCTGCCACATGATCTGCCATGCAACAGTAGCTCGGGTTCACCGCCCGAGCAAGAGAGAAGCGCCCCTGCTGAAGCTCGGTCTTCCAGAAAACCTGAGAGTGCTTTTGTGATTGTTATTATTAATATTATTATTATTATTAGTATTATTAGTGTTATTATTGTTGTTGTGGTTGTTATTATTGTCATTACGGAATCCTGAATGTCAACACGGGGGTTTCGGGAAATAAGGGATATTACTCCCCCATTGATGGAGAATCAGATGGACAAGAAGGTGGAAGCTGGGTTTTCATGGTGGCTTCCATGGGTTAGGATTTCCTAAAATTGTGCGAAATCCTTTTGGCAGTTCCCATTATAGACCATAACTTACTTGGAGGGTCTATGCTGGGGTCCATCTGTTCATGGAAAACCCCACATTGCTGGCTCTTGAAAGTTTGGGGCTTCCTGAAGATGCTATTGTTCCGGGGTGATTTCAAGCAAGAAGCACCCCAGCTTTCGCACTTCTGCCTCGGTTTGCCAAAAGCCCTGGTCAGCCATGGTTACAATGGAGTCCAAGCCTTCGTAGGCTTCTTGGCTTCACTGCAAACTGCACCTCAGATCCCCAACCCTAATGCCTGGAATGTAGCACCAGCCTGAAAGCCCCCGTAGCACCCCTGAAAGCATGGCCAGATTGGATTCACTGGGACTGCAGAAAAGGGCTGGATAGTAGGGATGCTCGAGGTAGACACAGGATTTGTGCACGGGTCCCTCGTATGTGAAGTCTTCAGCAGACTTTCTCGGAAACTTCGCTATGCGATGGCAGCTTGGACGTAGCGCGCCCACTATCCTACAACAGCCAACTCCTCCAACAAGGGTGCCTTGGTCGACCGACAACAGAGGGACAAATTAGGATTGAAATGCTAGCCCGGAAATGTGAGCCATAGTCTAAGCTCCTAGTATCCCCCCCCGGTAGACCCCAGAATATTACTCTGCATAATGCCCTATAAACCCCAAGTAAGGAGTTTAGACTATACTACATGTGAGGCTCGCATCATTCGAGGCGGAGTGGCTGCCGGCCGCATGATCGCCATCCTTACGTCTGGATCAGGAGCAGGATTGAGACCAGTTGACGGCATCTTGTAGTCAAAGCAGTATTGAAGCGACGCAATTGCATATGACAACAAAGGCTAAAATTGAGCAAAGGATAGAGATGCCCTTAACATTGCTTTAATAAAGCTAGCTCTCAAGGTGACATATGCTGTTTCAAATCTCTTTAGGGAACCTCAATTGTCATGTATGCCCTGTGCTGCAGCTCTCGGAGAAGGATTGTGACCTGGGGCGCTTGCAAGTGAATTGTCAGGCAGAAACACCTACAGTACTAACGGTTTAGGGGTTTAGGGTTTAGGGTTTAGGGTCAGTACATGTCAAGCTTACCTCAGCTTTAGCTTGTGAAAGAACGGGCTTACTGAAGTTATCTAGACAAATAACCCACAGAAATCCTAGAGCTGAAGCACTCATATTGCTCCAAAACCCTAAGCCAGAGCGGTCATTGTTAGATTTCAGGCTCATCCTCCCATGATGCCAAGAAGCTCCCATACCTGGATGTCTACACCAAACCCCTAACCCTAAGCCTCAAACCCTAAAACCCTAATTTCAAACTCCTAAACCCTAAATCCTAATTTCAAACTCCTAAGCCTTAAACCCTAATTTCAAACTCCTAAACCTTAAATCCTAAACTTTCCGTAAGGGTCCAAGGACTCAAATAATCGGGTTTTAGGGCCCAGATACTATAACATTAATGGTATTTGGGCCCTAAAACCCTATTATTTGAGTCCTTGGACCCTTAGGGTTTGTCCCTAAACCCTAAACCCTAAAACCCTAAACCCTAATTCCAAACTCCTAAACCCTGGGGTAAACCCTGAATCCTAAACTTTGTCCTAAACCCTACTCAACGAGTCCCGGCGCTCAGCGGAGCCTACGGCTGCCCCGATGGCAGCATGCTGAGCTGGGCTCAGCTCCTGCGCAAAGTTTAGGGAGGGGTTGGGTTTAGGGTTTAGGGTTTAGGGTTTAGGGGTTGGGTTTAGGGTTTAGGGTTTAGGGGTTGGGTTTAGGGAGGGTTCTTTCAGGTTACATAAGGTATTTAAACTCAATGGTTTACATAAGGGTTCTATGAGGCATATAGGTTTAGAGGTATGATGAATCACAACTGGGACGGCAACAGCAACAGGATGGGCACTGTAAACTGCTGCTGCTGCTGCTGCCGCTGCTGTCTTGATGTCCGGGGTGCCCAGGGCCCCCCTTTTCGAGAAACTCCCATTTTAGGGATTGCACTGAATACTGTAACCCTGAACCCTAAACCAATGCAATTTCCATGTTATTTCCCGTTTTCCATTTGAGTCTCCATAATTGCGTAAGATATCCCTATAAACCACTTAGCAACTGCAACTTGGGATCCGTGCTTGCAGAATGGAGTGAGACAGGGAGGTATGGGGGATATGGGGATATATAGGGCGTATACAAGGATATACAAGGAGTATATAATATATGGGGTTTAGGAATTAGGGTAGGGACTTGGGGATAACCCCGCATACTCAAAAAAAACTATCATTCCATATCCCAGATTCTGGGACCTAGCACGCAAGTACGAAGCCCCTCGTATTTTGCAAAATCCAATGCACCAAAATCCAGGAATTAAGAGGTGCCCGCTATGTCTATATACTACCGGCTCCAGCTGATGCACCTGAACACCCGTACTTCCGGAGGACGCAGGAGAGAGGGGGTGTTCTTCATGTGAAGTGGACATTCTTGTAGACTCCTGCCTGTTTTCAGAGGCCTGTCCATATGCAAAATGTGGGTCCCCTCTCATGAGCGCTTCGGCCTGGGATCCTGATCGACCATACCTGCGCCTCAGATCCAACCTGAGGAATCCACTATACTGGTCAGGGTCATTTAGAATTTGTTAGTATTATTATTGCTACTATGGTAGTTGTTGTAATTATTCGTAATACTGCCAGTAGTACTGTTACTCTTATTGCTACTACATTTATGCTCACTGAGACTTTCCTGCAAGTCACCGATGCCTCCTTCGCTGTCTTGGCCATGGTCCCTCCTCAATGTCAGATCCTGCAAGGTCAGGTTGTCTCACCATGAGCTGGAGTCTAGGTTTAGGGTCTAGGGTTTAGGGTTTAGGGTTTAGGGTCTAGCCTCCTTAAGGGCAAGCACCCACAAATGTGACAAATCTCTACATATGCTTCGCCAGGTGGATAGATGAACAACCCATGTTTCAGGGTGTTGGGCAACCATGATCACCTGACTACTATTATTACTACTACCGTTTTAATCTAAAAGTATTACTATCATTCTTACTATTTATTGTTATTGGAGGAGGATTGCTGGTGCCGGGGTCGAGTTTTCTGTGAGCCTGGGGCCATGATAAGTGCCTGAACCCTAAATCCTAACAACAGAATCTGCAGAGCTCCGTGGAATTAGCAGGAGGGAGAGAAGGATTGCTATCTAGACAGAGTAGTAAAACAATCATCCCATCCTACATAGCAGCATATTGATTGAATCTGTAATTTTTGAAATTCGGCAATTCGGCTGAAGCATGGCTTCAAAGCAAACGTAGGCCTGTCCTGCGCAAATTCTGGACGTTCCAGCTGCGGCTGCAAAATCTAACAAGTGTTTATAGGCTAACCAACAGGATCTGATGGGTGATGTACTGGAGAAGTTGGCATCTGAATCTCTAGGCTCTAATTACGTCTGTTACAACTCAGGCTTCTAGAAGGAAGTAGGGGGAAATCCATACGGGTCCTCATTACTGGCAATCAGGGGCAAAATGCCCTGCGAGCCCAAAGCATGCGGCAGAGAGAGCATCAAAGACGGCTCACAAGCGCCCCAAGAGCTGTTCTACTACCATTAAAAACCAGAAGTATTACCATTCTTATGATGACTATTAGTACTATTATTGTTATTCATACCCCAAGAGCTCTGGGCCTTTTGATGCCATGTCATGCTCAGCGTGGCTTTGAAAGGAGAAGTTCCCGTCAATCTTAGCTGCTGGCACAAACTACTTGCCCGAGTTTCAGTGTCAAGCCATCAGAAGGCATCTTAGGATCTACATACTGCAGCAGAAGCACGGCTAGTGTGCAACCTACCAACATCTAGCGGAACATCACCGCGAGCTTCTCCCATGCTTTGACGTTTATGGGTCCCGAAATTACAAGTAGGGCTATAATCCAGCTCATGTATGACTTAGAAACCACATCTCACATCAACCTCCAAGGAAGCAAGCCACGCACGCAGAGCTGGCGCTTGCACTGCACAACGTGCTGTCCCTGTTTCAACGTCCATGAGGCACTTGCTTCATCATCTGTGCGGTCTAGGAAAGTAGCAGCAAAATCCGGAAGAAAGGGTAAGCTGAACAGAGCACCTTTGTGGAAGGTCTCCCTGCTTAGCTCAGGAAGGGAAGAACATCAGCGTCTTGCCTTGAGCAAGCAACTGCCTCACGCATGGGACACACTCCAAGCATCACCGCTGGACGCTAAGACTAATTACGCATCTAGCACACCAAGGGTCCCTGAAAGTACAGCACCAGGCAGAGGATAGAATCCAAACTCTACAGCATCTCGAGAAGGACAAAGGTCTTTGAACTCCTCTGCTGTTGCAGCTTCCAATTAATTTCCCGCGTAATGAGACCCCAGTTTCGGAAACTTTTTACATGGATCCTGTTCGAGTACGTGCCGCACCTCATGCCCCTTCCCTCTACTCTAAAGCTTTCGCCGTGAAGTGGCCGCATGATGATGAGAACTGCTGATGAATGCAATGATGAGGATGATTCTGGGGAGGTGGTCGTTCCGCTCTGACGGGGGCCATACATGGTGATCCAACTTTCCTTGTAATACATCGAGAGACAGTGACTGCAATTACTGCAATTTGGGCTTCATGGGCAGCAACAGACTACAACTGCACTTGTCTAGGTGAGTTTAGCTGTTACCTACCGGCACTCCTGAATATAACCCTAGAGACAATAATCCACAGCATACTCTTGCATCATCCTTACTCATCTCTACAAAGCCCACATTATCCGATAGTTGATTCCGTTTTATTTGCCACTATC